GAACGTTCCCCTTTGAACATTCATATGTGCAACATTCTTGGAACGTTTGCTTGCGAACATTCCTAGAATTTTCGCAGGTGAAGCCAACTTTACGAAGCTTTCAAGCAACCTGTGTTTCGAAACACCATCCACTATATGCCACCTTGTGCCAAAAATATGCAAATTAAGTGGAGGTTTTGGAAACTTAGCATAAGGGATCAGTTTTATTTTATACGAGTCTACTGAGGAATGTGAGATAAGGTGTAGGAGAAAAGCAATGGTCTTCAAAATTTGATAATGAGCTTGGCACTCACTGCATATGTAGAGGGGCAGTTTTGAATAGACTCGATTTTTAGCATCTCGGATTCAATACCTTGAAGAAGGTACGTCCCGCTTGAGTGTGGGATGCCGTAGGTATCTGTTGTTGTGCTCGGAGTGAGTAATCGGTTTATATATGCAGCACGTTTTGATAAGTAGGAGTAAACTGCCGTTATAGTACAGGCTCTGGCTAATGCGCTGGAAAAGCGGCTAGATTGCGCTAGGCTTGGAAAAAATATATTTAAAGATATTGATCGCTCTGTGAGGAGATTTATTATATGAATATATGTAGTTAAAATAAGTACACCGACTTGACATAACAGAAAAAACAACTTCATTAGACGTTTCGCCTCCCATGCGGGAGGCATCATCAGTAGTTACACAGCTGTGTAACTACTGATGATGCCTCCCGCATGGGAGGCGAAACGTCTAATGAAGTTGTTTTTTCTGTTATGTCAAGTCGGTGTACTTATTTTAATTATGACGTCTCCCGGCTTTTGGAGTATTTTTGAATATATGTAGTACGGCTCAGTGAGGCTGTAATCTTTGTAAACATTCCTCAGAGAATGTTGCAGATGTTCATTGGATGTTTTGGGAACGTTCTTAAAACCTTGTTAGAATGATGATTAAATGTTCTGTCGTGCTCAGGACGTTCTAAAAATATCCCCTAGAAAACATTCCTCGAATGTAGCGATAAGTGCCTGCGCCATATTCTGACGACGATAGAATGTTCTTACGTAAATTTGCAACATTCAGAGAATGTTGCAGAAGTTGTTTGGATGTACTGAGAACGTTCTTAGAACCTTGTTAAGATGTTTCAATGTTGATTGAATGACCTGGTGATGTTCTATGTCATTCTCAGAACGTTCTAAGAATATCCCTTTGAAGACGTACATTCCCCGAATGTAGCGATAAGTGCCTGCGCCACATTCTGACAACGTTGATAGAATGTTCTTACGTAAATCTTCAACATTCCAAGAATGTTGTCTATGTTATTTTGAACATTCCCGGAATGTTCTCAGAACGTTCTCGTACGAGAACGTTCTGACAACATTCCGGGAATGTTCACGTGGGTGGGTCGTCTGGCGCGGGACGGTCTTTCTGCAGGTCTAGTTGGTCTAGTCAGTTCGGTCACACCAAGAGCGGTGACGATAACCTCAACAGAAAGCACGAGAGCCATCGAAACCAATCCAGTGCCTTCCACTGTCGCGTGACCCTGCAGTCCCGCTCACGGTGCTGGATTGCCTGGGGTGACTCGTAGCGTCCGCAGCGGTCCATCGCAAGGTGAAACGAAGTATGCAGAGACTAAAGTCAAAGGAAATGAGCGGGAATCCGCTAGCTTGCTTCTAATTCCCCAACCCACTAAAACATATAACAATTTTTGTTGTTATTGCGACAAACCGTCGCAACAACAACAAAAAAAGCATGACAAGAAGGACGATGAGGAGTTGTTCATGGCTGTTTCTTTGCCGCACTTTTTTTCTTTTGCTTGGTGCTTGGTTTCTTGTTTCGCTCTCGTGTAACGCCATCGAAGCCCGACGCCTGCGCGTCCGTGAAAGGCGCCACGTAACCCCCCCTTTCCCCGTTTGCTCTTTTGCTTTGACGCTTGTTTTTTGTTTTGCGTTTTTTCTTTTGCGTGTAAGTCTGTAGGGCTCCACGCGGGCTAGCAGTTTCCCGCTCATTTTATTTCTGAGCAACTGACTCGCTGACTGGCTCGGTTTAGCTGACACTAAAAAAAAGAAAAAAAAAGAAGAAGAACCGTGCCCCATTCCATTCCCGGCAAAAGGACCCTAATTCCATTCCCTTTCCATTCCTCTTAACGTTGACGCCATTCCATTCCCATTCCATTCCGGGGTCGTGAAAATGTGGAATGATTCCGGGAATCATTCCAACTCCGGAGTGGCAACTCCGCAACACTGTATGGGAGGGTGCTTCGTACCTGGTTGTAACCATTGCGTGGAAAAAGATTCTTGCAGTTTCCATACATTTCCGCAAGACCCCAAAGCGCGAAAGAACTGGATAAAAACATAAGGTGAGTTTACTACAGATTGTACTCGCATCGCGGGTTCCACGGAGATCTTCACCAAAAGAGCACATCCACGGAATTTGATGTATACCAAGGGAAAAAAAAAAAGAGCAAAATACTGCGAAATCGCGATAGACGTGCCATTCTTTAAAGGGATACTTCAACGAAATTTGAAATATTCCCCTCGTGTTCAAAAATAGGTTGAATATGATCCACAATATCCGTAAATGACAATCGCACGTTTGGATTTTGAGCCTGGGTAGCTGTAATTTTCGTTATAAACGGCCCACTCTGGCAAGCGCTCGGAGAAGGCCCAGCGGAGACCACGTGACATCCAATGCAATCGTGACGTAGGTCGTCTCGGGACGAGCAAAGCTACGGCGAGGTTGACGTCGAGAGGATGGCCTAGTCGTTCCAACCACCGAAGCGGCTGCTTTTGTACGAATTTTGAGTGACGGGTTAATCTTCTATAATCTTGCAGGGGGACAATAGCGACTTCTGCGACACACAAAAGGCATTCTCGGAAAGAGGGGAGTTACCCCTTCCCCTCTTCTCTCGTCGTAGCCGGAGGCGAGACACTCACCGTCACTAGCTGCCAAGGTTCCTAGACGGGCATTACAAGCGAGGCGTTAGCGACATCCACCAGGTGCTCTTTGCTAATCATTTAATTTGTTTTAAAATTCCTTTTCGAGACTTTTTTAACAAGATATTGGTATGTTCGATGTGATGCTGCTCCTTTGAACACATATAGGCCAAAAAATGAGCGCCTCAATTTCGTTGTAGTATCCCCTTAATAACCTCAAAACCTCAATAATGATAACAAACGACTTACCTTGACGGCATACGATTTGTTTCTCATCCTGGCCTGCACTACGCCGGTAATGCACTTCAGGTCGTCGTCGTAACTGATCTGCATGACGTGGTTTGATTTTACGGCATTTTCACCCCTTTGAACTAAGCTGGGTTCTTTACAGAAAAAAAAAAGCACATTGCGGAGGCTTCTACGGCTATGGCGATGCACTTGTTTTTGTCGCTCGTTTACCGACGCAATTCAATGAAGACGCCCGCTGCAACAGAGGCCAGTAAATCTATCGTGTAGTCTGCTACCGAAGCAAAGCGGAGTGCAATACTTCAGAAATGGCTTTCATCGTTGCAATACGACACTGAGACGACAAGAACATCCTCATAATTAGATATGAAGAAGTTAGGTAGCTTACAAAAGTGTTTACCTACTTGTAAGCAAAAATCTAGCCTCATGTGGAGTCTAAATGCATTAGTCCATAGCAACGTTCCTATCAATGGTTTGTTTGGACCCAGACGCCATGTTGTGACGTAGTCACTTACGGAGTCAATTTACTGTGGAAACGCAAGCTAAGGGCAGTGTTGCCAGATTGGGCTATATATAGCCAAATTGCTACTTTTTTTCTAGTTGGCGTTAAAATTCCGTGACTGGCTATGTGGCTATTTTTGGGCTATTTCTAAGAATGCGGCGAACTTTTGTCGGTCCTCAGTTCGACGTCGAACTTTGATGTTCGTCTAGTTAATTTTCGAACTTCTAATCAGTTTCAAAAACAAGTGTTTCTCTTTTGGCTAGTCGAGAGGAGAGAGAGAAAGGAGAAAGGCTTTAAACTTCTACAAACTTCGGGGTTCTCATAATGTGCAGTGAAGCAATGTTTGCCGAGTTCAAGCAGTCTTCCCATGGTGCAGTGGAGCAAACCAAACAGATTGCTCTATTACCACAGGCACGGTAGCGCCTCTTCAACCCGGACGCATATGGCTCTGCCCGGACGTAGACTGAACTCTCCAAATGCTGCTTTCGTGCGCAATGTGAGAATCCTCACTCACCCCAGCTCGTAAAAATGAGAAGTCCGCAGCTTCACCACTTAACAATTCACTACCTTCCAGTTCCTAAGAAAGGAAAACACAATCAGAAATAGCGTGAACCAGAATGGGGGACACTCATATTTTACACAAAGAAAAAGAGACAGACGGGTGGGATATTGGTAAGGACCTCATATATTGGGGTTCTGGTTTGGAACTCCCAGTGTTCTTACTCTTCTGCTTCTGTATTCTGTTCTTTTACTGTATAATCATATCTCTCAGGTTTCACAATAAAGCTGTCTGTGTGTTTTGTACTTCTGAAAGCTGCGAAGGAAGGGTCAGTCTTGTATAGATTTTCATCCTTCCAAGCTTTTTTTTTTTTTTTTATTCACAAGTGTCAATGTACACAAAATGGGGCACATCTGAGGGTTGAAAAAGAGAATGTAAAGCGTTTTCTAGGTGTGTGAAAAATTGTCAATAAAAGGCCGCTCAAGTAGTCAGACATTGCCAGGCAGACGTAGAATCAATAATTCGAACACAAAAAAGAGCACGGGGACTCACACCGACGCCAACAACATCGCATTTCAATGGTTTGTTTATGGGCGACGGCGAGCTTCTTGCCCACACTCCACCGTGCATGCGCGGTGCCGGTGGCGTCCGCTAAGGGCACTCCGGTTTGTTTGGAAACATGAGTTGGTACATATAGAAAAATTCGACGGAAATCGAATTTTTGAATTTGTTAAACTAAGAAGTTAGACACTTTTCGAAATTTCGAACTTTGCACGTTCAGAAATGCAATGTTTTTCGAACCCTCAAACTTATCAGGCCCATACATCCCCAACTGAAAGGGCAGATGCTCGATAAATCAACACTTTATTCCAACAAGCTTGTTTCCGTCAAGGGCCACTGCAATACAGGCAACAGCCGGGGTAAAATTATGAAACCGCAGGCACCACTTCCTCCGGCACATTTGATAACATAAAGGAACAGCCCACAACTGCCCCATAAAACACTCGGATAAAGACCGGTAGAAAACAGGAACCCACCAATGAGCCCTATCTTTCAGGGCACTTACACAGGCTCCATTTTCACCCTCACCGGAGCACTTTCGTCCTCAACGAGACAATTTGGAACAACAAACTCGTTTTCTTGAGACACGTTGTCCTCAAGCTTGAGCTCGATCTTGTCCAAATGCCCGAAGTTGCCAGGTGTCCGCACCAAACTCTTTGTGAGCAGAGCTGGAGCCGTTCCAGTCCCAACACAATACACGAGAGAAGACTCGTTGTCCGCCTTGGATCCGCTTTCTGTGGCAAGTCCCACGAATTGAACGGGTATGGGAGTAGCACCCAGCTCTCTGCGCGTGATTGTGTCTACAGCGACGACTTCTTGCGGCTCTCTGCTTTCGCTAAGGAGAAGTGTGCTGGGTTCCACGGTTGGAAATCCGAGGGTGATTGCAAACGTGCCACGGCGGTGCGGACGACGGGTCTTGACTTGGGCCTTTTTTTGTCCGCGCTGGTGCGACGGCCTCTGCGAGACACCAGAGCGGAGCCTTGATGTCTGCTTGTTGACTCGCGCCCGTCTGCGACGGCTTTGACCGGCCGACGAGAGCGTCCGCTTGGCAACTTTGATGACACAGACACAAGGAGGCCCATTGGCGTCGTCATCGTCGATGTCACCTTCATGCACCTCTGAAAAGAGGACCAAAGGTGGTGCTCAAAACGCATGTCTGGGCAGGGTTCGCTAGCGTAACTTTATTCATATATTTATTACTCGACTCGCCGACCGCCTACACAAAGGCCATGAACATCAATAGCTTTGAAACAAAAAGAAATAGAACTGCTTAACACTCCCCAGAAAAAAAATTTTCTGCAGAAAAAGTTGATTTTGAAAAATGACATATTTACATCCACCAACATCTAGAGAGTATCCCCATAAAGTTTAATTAATTTCCATTGTATCATTAATTCAGGGGTCAGACAAGTGAAAAAGGTTTTGGAGCAATTTTTGGAGCAGAAAAATCTGGATTTTGAAGCAGCTTAGGAGCACAAAATTCTCGTTTCGGAGCAGCAGTTTATGCATTTTGGAGCAACTTCGAAGCACAAAAGTCTACAGTTCGGAGCAGATTAGGGGCAGAAAATGTTAGAGCAGCTCATCAGCAATTCAAATCATAAAAAATCTGACGTAAATCACATAAATCTGACTTTTAGTTTTTAATCGTTATTTTTGTCCACCCTGGTTCCAATAAGTCATCAGTGCCGATATGCACCAAGATAAAATATAAAAGAAAAAAAAAAAGAAACGGAAAAGGCAAACGCAAATTTAATGTGCATAGATGAGGACAAGAAACACTGGCTTGCTGCAAAGTTAGGGGGGCACCAGGTACCTCAAGCTTCTACGAACTGGTGCCAAAGCGCAATTGTAGTCCAAAACATTTTAAAGCTGTGATTCGAGAGCATGAACAGGGAAGCACGGTTTGCTACAACCAGACATCGATCGGACGCTAGTAGAAAGCACCCGTGCAGATAAGAAAAACTCCCCACATAAGTGAGTCCCAAGGTAAACAGTGAATTGATAGAAAACCTATGAGCACCACATGCACGCTAAATATGGGTGTGACTGATTCATTCGATTGCTCACGCACTGGAAGCATGTGTGTGGTAACCGAAAGTACTCACGGCGACAGCGCCGTCCATTTTGACGAGATTACGGACACGAATGAATGATTACACAATGGAGGCGCTGAATAGCACTTTTAAGAAAAGGTTCACTCAAAACGAAATACATAGTTTTGCTCATCTTGATAGCCTGTGTGCGTCGTACCTCCCGCGGCCAGACAGCGAGACCGCGTGACAGCGCACCGTTAGCATGCAGTCACAAATGACAGCGGAAAGTGGTAGAAAAATCGGGAAAAGAGCACGTACCATAGGTACAGAAGGGAACTACAGCTGAAATCTTCGAATCTGGCGGTTGCTTGCGCCACCCTGTACCCTTGCCGTGTACTTTACTACGACGAGATTGAATGTTGCCAACCAAGTTCTCATTTCCCGCTAAATTTAGCGTCGCCGCGAACTTTGTTTTTAGCTTTTGAGTTACTTTGGCGCAGTGTGGCGCAATTTCCACCAATTTCGCGTTTTTGGCGCAACTAGGCACAGAAAATTGAGTTTGTATCAAAATGGCGCAATTGGCGCACATGTCACACCCCTGTTAATTTTCTTTATAAATTATTTTCTCTCCACCAAAGCTAAAGAAAAGGTAGGATTTGGAGCACTTTGAACGCATTTTTCTCCCTTCCACTTTTTGGTATAAATCCCATTTTAGTCAATCTATCGTTTGATAATGGCAATACAGGGAAGGCTCGTTCTTCACTTTTCCTGACTGAAATTTAATAAGGAATGCGGCTATGGAACTTTTTTGTCACTTTACGAATGTCTTAAAAAAAAGAGGACATTTTGTCGAAGACACAGCTAGAAGACCAAAAAGTTGACCAATTTTGCAAAAGAGAAAATTTATATAAATAAATGACTTTTTACAAAAATCTTTCCATAGCCTCATCCCCTAAGCATTCTGCTACTTATCTAGCGAACAAAAATCTTGAACATTGTTATAGTTTTCCGACGACAGATTAAATAAACAATGTAAGCGTATTGCTGATAGAAGCTGCTCTAATTTCCTTCCCATTTAAGCGACAGACGTGAAATTTTGTAATGCCCTCTCTAGCATGACCACCAGCCTACCCTGTAAATTTGATTCATTTTAACCCAAGGGTTCAAAAGTTGACCCTCCCAGGGGTTATGTCCCTTTAAAAAGATTCCGCAGCGCAACAGGGCGAACATCAGCTTCAGGGTACCAGCAGCATAGTCACACACACCATCAACACCAAATGTCTAGAAATGACATCAATCGTCCGAGTCCTTTCCACGATTTGTCAAGTACATAAGCGTCATCTAAAACTCCGGCATTTCTCTATTTCCCAAATACACCGTGTCTACAATAGACCGATCTCACAAGCCAGTTTGACTACGCCACCGCTGCCGCAATGCATCAAGGGAGCTTTAGCCTTTCTGCGCGTGCGACAACCTCGATGGAGCTCTGCGTGTGCAGGGCTCGAGCGGTCTCGTGCACTGCCGATTGCCCCCTGTGAACTAAAGTTATGGCTGCCTCGCACATGCGTCGAACGCTTGGTGAGATCGGTCTATTGCCCGCGATGACACTAATTTCCAACTCCGAGAATTATTAGGCAACCTTCATCCTTTGAAACAAGGCTATAAAAGAGGAAGAAGAAACAAAAAATAAACAGTTGTTAGTCTGCACTTTCACAAGTATGTCATGTTTTTATCTGTCTACCATAGCATCACATAGTTTACGTGTTTATGTCTTCAATGTAACTTTGCAGTGCAGTATACCTCATAAGGAAAGATAACACAAGCAGTAACCCGTTCAGTGACTGCGAGATTAGCGAACGTCCCATATCCCGGAATGTAACCGCAGAGTGTAAGGACAAAGTCCGCTTCCGCCAAACGTGCTCCTTCTCCCGGAACGTCGCGACCGTGGTTGGTAAGGTTGTGCAATGTTTAAGACGAAGTCAACAGGTAAATGAAGATTTGCTGGAACGCCGCACAGACGTTTGTAAAGCGTCTCATTTTGAGCTGTGTTCGCGCTGCCGTCCACGCCACGCAGCAACGCCGCCTCAAACCATGTTGATAGCATGCCGTGCATGGACACAAAACACGTATGCATCAAACAAGAAAGTTGCACAAGAGCCTCGGTGATTGATTGACAAGGCGCCCAACTTGCCTTGAGGGCAAGGTATTTGTTAACTAGATCGCCGGCTTTCCCACTTCCCCAGCATTGCTCTTCGTCGCCTCTTTCGCCTGCTCATTGCGCCTAAATAATTCTATTTTCTTGATTTTTTTTTTCTTTTTTTTTTTTAACTATTGAAGACAACAGCGAAAACATGCTTTCACGAACAAACGTTCATGCTGTATGCCGATCCACGGTGTTCATTGCGCACATGCAAGCAATGGCCTTTGCAAGAGTAAAACATTCTTTCCCGAGTATTTCTTGCATAATTTGAGTTTTGAGTTTAATGTATCTCTTGTGCAGCTCTACTAGATATATACAAGAAATGGCCGTTTTTTTGTTTGTTTTTTAGCTTTTTCTAATCTTTTTGTGCTTACCTCCAGAGTAATGGGTCACCCTTTTTTTACAAATTGGTGGGCGATGACTTGGGATATTACGGTAGGGTCATTCCAAAACTGCCAAGGTTCCAAGTTCCACTTTTTCCAACTTTTAACGTAAAATTGGCAAAATTTTGATAGTTTTAATATATTTGTGCATGCGCATACATTGAAAACAAGCTTATGCCCCCTGGTGAAGAAGGGGTGCAGGATTTCAACCCACCAAAATCAATAAAAGTTAATGATCTATTAATAGATTCACAGATCTTTGCAAGGCAGACCTCCAAACTGTTCATAATTACCATGTTTAGTTACCACCACCTATTGTTCCTTATTGTTTAATATGTGTGTAGGTGTTTTTTCTGCATTTTTTGCTGTCGATCTTTGTATGCACCATGTTCCTAATTATTTGGCTGTTTTTTGTTTTTTTTCCAGGTATACCTTAGGTGAAATTTGACTTCTTGTCTCCACTCATGTAATGTACTTTCCATGAACACCCTCCTGCCATATGAACGACCCATTAGAGAATTATTTTACGGTGGATCTGCCGAATTCGCTTTGACGGGGACAACATTTCTTAGTACGAAAAAATAAATTAACCTTTGTTCTTTCTCCTCCCTCAAATTTATATGTGCCTAGCATGTATGGGCTTAACACCAATGCATAAACTGAATAGGCGAATGGGTCTTTCATATTGCAGGGTACTGTACCTCTGAGGGATAATGAAATGAAATGAATGAAATATTCTGTAAAATTTAAAACGAGCTATTATATACACCTTTTTCCCAAGACTATGTTTTAAGGCAGAAGTCGGGCAACATTGTCCAAGAAGTTGAATTCAGAACTTTGCTCCAAGTTGAAAGGTGTGCCGAACCAGTTGAATCTCGAGGTTTGGTGTCAAACCTTGGATTCGACCAAAGTTTGCAGCCCCCCAACCCTCAACCGCTTCCGCTGCCTGGAGTGTGTCTCTGACTGGTGTTTACCTTGCCCCAAAAAAGCGGTCCCTCGATTTCAGCCCCAAACCCGCCAGATGTCCGCACCAAACTCATAGCGAAGACAGGAAAGCAGACTTGCCGTCCGCCCTGCACCCGCCTCCCGCGACGAGCCCGACAAACCTAACGGGAACGGGGGCGGCGCCAAGCTGCCTCCGCGTGGCCGTGTCCCAGCCCTCGGGCTCTCGCGGCTCCTCGCTGTCGCCGAGGAGCAGCTGGCTGGGTTCTACGGTGGGGGGTCCCAGGTCGATGACGGACTGCGCCTCCGCAACCCTGGCGGCGAGCTCCGGCTTGGGCCTCTTCCTGTCGGCATAGGTGCGACGACCAAAGCGGGACGCCAGGGCGGCGGCGTGCTCCGGCAACTCGCGTTTCTCCGTTTTGACCGACCGCTGCCGATTGGAGTACGTCTGCTTGCCCACCTTGACGACGAGGAGGTCCGGTGTTGCCGCCGTTATTGTTGTCGCCGTCTTGCATTTCTGCGAACGAGGGTGAAAGGTGATGCCAAAGGATGGTGTGGGCAGGGACCGGTGTTTCAGAATAAATAAAACAAAGCAAAAAAGAATTCCTGGAAGTGTGAAAGCAGTTACTCTTTCTGACGGGGAATTTGAACTTATTACTCGTAGTGGCCCATTTGTTTGAGTGTTGTACGGAATGACTTCATATTGTTCTTGCTACTGTCGGAAGTAAGCCGCCTGGATTTCTCTCCTCTTTTATATCAATATATTTTACTAAACTGGACTGATGGGCTAGTTGGACTGTTGGGCTAGTTCATGACGAAAAACAGTATGAAAAAACAAGGACCCAGAGGAGGGAATAACACGGGGCAAGGCACCTTGTCCCGTGTGTTACTCTCTCCTGTGTCCTTGTGTTTTCACACCGTTTTTCATCATCAATATATTTTGCTGTAAAAAAAGGAATCAATGGTCAGCGCCATCGTTGTCTTCTTCTTGTCCCTGCATCCTTTTTTAATCAAACTATGCAGTTTAATCGGCAGCGGTGTATCTACACGGCAGTTAATGGCGCTATTCAGTCATAGAAACAAAAATGTTTAAATAAACCGACAAACAGGGAAACTTTTCACAAGGATGTCATTAGGTGGCTCATTTATCACACTCAAATTCTAGGGGTGTAGGTTTCTGTAACAAACAGCAAGAAAAGAAAAGCACGCCGCTATTATGTGTAAAAGAAAAAACGGTTCAACTGGTTGATGCTGCTACTCAAAGCTGGCACCAGACAAAACAAATACTTGAAAGCTTCTTTGAGATAAGCAAATCTAGCAAATCTAAACATGCTAATGATGATAAACATTAGGGTTTTAATAAGTGATGGGCCAAACTATTTCCGAATCGAAAATTCAGCGCCGAATCTTTGGATTCAGCAAAACCAAATTTTCGCCAAACTTTTTTAAAGATTTGGCAAATATTCAGCAAAAATACATCATTGCCAAACCTAAAAGTTAATATATTGTTTTTTTGTGTGCAAAAAAATTTATAGCTTTTTTTGTAATGTATATTGATGCAGTTATTACTAAATAAGGTGATATTCTACAAGATAATTGTATCAGTCATTTTTGCATGTTTACTGGTAATTTTAAATTGACTTTTTTGCAGAACTGGCGTGACAATGGGGTTCCGTAGTAGTGAGCGCAGCCAGCACAGTCACGATACGCGAGTTTCGGTTTTGAGGCCTCATCGGTGCACGCTTGCAAGTGTGTATTGTTGAAAAAAAAGGCAGTGACACTATGTTCTACAGGGTCTGTCCCAAAACTTCCCGGAATGATTTTTTGTGGTCGGCAACGCCGCCTGGTGGGGTGGGGCTTCAGGTGGAGAAGTTAGTGGGGGATAAAAGCTTCGAAACGAGACCGGTCTCAGTTGTCTGCTATCAGTTGCTGAGGCAGGTCACGCTCCGCGCAGAGGCATCTACAGCACCCTCGTCGAGAAAAAAAATGGACCAGTTTTTGGAGCAACGTTATGCAATCAAGTTTTGTGTGCAACTAGGTAAAAACGGGGCGGAGACGCTCGAAATGCTTCGGAAAGCCTACGGTGACGACGCGATGAAAAAAAGCCGAACTTTCATGTGGCACAAGAGGTTTTGGGAAGGTCGGGAGTCCGTCAACGACGACGACCGCTCGGGACGCCCGTCGACATCACAAACGGATGACTCGGTGCAAAAAGTGCGTCACGTTTTGGACAAGGACCGGCGATTAAGCGTTCGAATGGTCGCAGATGAGTGTGGAATACCCAAAACAATCGTTCATCGCATTTTAACAGAGGATCTCCAAATGAGGAAAGTCTGCGCGAAAATGGTGCCAAACGTCCTGACGAGTGAGATGAAGGAAGAGCGTTTGTTGAAGTGTCAGGAATTGCACGAACGCTTCGAAACAGACCCAGAATTTTCGGACAGAGTGATCACAGGGGATGAGACGTGAATTTTCGAGTACGATCCCGAATCAAAGCGTCAGAGCAGCGAGTGGCACACCACGGAGTCTCCTCGCTCATTGTGTTTTTTGGCAGAAGAGGTGTGGTTCACAGTGAATTCGTGCCACAGGGACAAACAGTCAACAAGGAGTTTTACTGTGAAGTGCTCAAACGGTTGCGAAACAGGGTTCGACGAGTCCGAAAAGAAATTTGCGACAACTGGATCTTGCACCATGACAATGCGTCAAGCCACACCGCGCTCATTGTCTCCGAGTTGCTGGCCAAAATGTGTGTGCCAACGCTGCCCCAGCCACCGTACAGCCCCGATCTGGCACCACCGGACTTCTTTTTATTCCCAAGAATCAAAAGAACCCTGAAAGGAACTCGGCATGGGACGCTGGAGACGGTAAAAGCAGCTGCGACGACCTCACTGAAGGAGGTTCCTGTTGACGGCTTCCAGGGCGCCTTCAGTGATTGGGTTCAGCGTTGGCAACAGTGCATCGAAGCAGGGGGAGATTACTTTGAAAAGTTCTGAAAAGATTGTAAACTGATATTGAATAGATGATTTATAAAAAAAACAAATCCGGGAACTTTTGGGACACACCCTGTATACTTCCTCTGCGAGTCATCGTTTTGTGCACAAAAATGAAAGCAACAGCTGTTGAGCCTTCACCAGAAGAGATAACAATAATATTGTAAATATACATATTTTTCAATTTGAGTCACTTCAGCTTTGCATGAAAGTGTGCATCCCATATTCGCAACGTCTCATTTTAGAGCGCAGCTCTTAGGCGCCCGTTTCCGGCTTGAGCGGCGTCGCCGTCGCCGTAACCGCGCGGTGCATTACATTGATTAATCCGTAATACCCCACAAAATCCGCTAGATTTAGCGGGGAAAAATTTCCCCGCTAAATCCAGCGGAATATTTTCCCCGCTAAAGCTAGCGGAAAAATTTCCCCGCTAAATCGAGCGGAATATTTTCCCCGCTAAATCTAGCGGAAAAATTTCCCCGCTAAATCTAGCGGAAAATTTTCCCCGCTAAATGTAGCGGAAAAATTTCCCCGCTAAATCTAGCAGAATATTTTCCGCGCTAAACCTAGCGGAAAAATTTCCCCGCTAAATCTAGCGGAAAATTTTTCCCGCTAAATCTAGCGGAAAAATTTTCCCGCTAAATCTAGCGGAATAATTTCCCCGCTAAATCGAGCGGAAAAATTTCCTCGCTAAATCTAGCGGAATAATTTTCCCGCTAAATTTAGAGGAAAAATTTCCCCGCTAAATCTAGCGGAATAATTTCCCCGCTATATCTAGCGGAAAAATTTTCCCGCTAAATCTAGCGGAATAATTTCCCTGCTAAATCTAGCGGGAAACCTGCTAAATCCAGCGGGAAAATTTCCCCGCTAAATCTAGCGGAAACATTTCCCCGCTAAATCTAGCGAAAAAATTTCCCCGCTAAATCTAGCGGAATAATTTCCCCGCTAAATCGAGCGGAAAAATTTCCCCGCTAAATCTAGCGGAATAATTTCCCTGCTAAATCTAGCGGGAAACCCGCAAAATCCAGCGGGAAAATTTCCCCGCTAAATCTAGCGGAATATTTTCCCCGCTAAATCTAGCGAAAAAATTTCCCCGCTAAATCTAGCAGAATATTTTCCGCGCTAAACCTAGCGGAAAAATTTCCCCGCTAAATCTAGCGGAAAAATTTTCCCGCTAAATCTAGCGGAAAAATTTTCCCGCTAAATCTAGCGGAATGATTTCCCCGCTAAATCGAGCGGAAAAATTTCCCCGCTAAATCTAGCGGAAACATTTCCCCGCTAAATCTAGCAGAAAAATTTCCCCGCTAAATCTAGCGGAATAATTTCCCCGCTATATCTAGCGGAAAAATTTCCCCGCTAAATCTAGCGGAATAATTTCCCTGCTAAATCTAGCGGGAAACCCGCTAAATCCAGCGGGAAAATTTCCCTGCTAAATCTAGCGGAAACATTTCCCCGCTAAATCTAGCGAAAAATTTTCCCGCTAAATCTAGCGGAATAATTTCCCCGCTAAAGCGAGCAGAAAAATTTCCTCGCTAAATCTAGCGGAATAATTTCCCCGCTAAATTTCGCGGAAAAATTTCCCCGCTAAATCTAGCGGAATAATTTCCCTGCTAAATCTAGCGGGAAACCCGCTAATCCAGCGGGAAAATTTCCCCACTAAATCTAGCGGAAACATTTCCCCGCTAAATCTAGCGAAAAAATTTCCCCGCTAAATCTAGCGGAAAAATTTTCCCACTAAATCTAGCGAAAAAATTTCTCTTCAGGTCAGGTGACCCCCCGAGGTCACGTGACCCTCGTGGTCATGTGACACCCCCAAATCACGTGACCCCCACGCAGTGTTGTACGGAACGGCGTTCCAAGGAACGGCGTTCCTGGAACGGCGTTCCTGGAACGCGTTCCTTTTAGGAGGAACGAAGGAACGTTGCCGTTCCATTTTGCATCGCTGGAACTGGAACGGGAACGCGTTACATTTTTACTGGAACGGAAAGAGTAACGGCGTTCCTTTTTTTCGTCCAGTGGGGTAAATTTTATTTTGTTTCGAATAGGGAAGTTTTGAAAATACAAAAACAATATCTCTACAAAGTGCAGGATCTCGTTACATTTTTGGCTACTAATCTTGTGGATTCTTTTGTGTGGTCCTCGCTTGCTAACAGTTTCGGGTGCAGGAGAGCTGGTGGACATTGATTCTTTTTTGAGTGCCCGAAACTGCGGTACAAAAAGCAAGGCTTTTAATAGTAGGAAAAGACAAGGAAAGAGGGTTGTTTCAAGCTCAGCTACTTCCTTTGGTTCCACGAATCCTGATACACCCAGAAATCTAAGGCCGACTACAGCCACTTGTGAACTTCCATAACGAGACCTACAGTTACAGCAAGATCACAGACTGCCAGACATCGAACGCATCCTTGTGTCCCGAACATTGGTCGCTTAAAGGATACAAAAAAAAAATATTTCTTGTCTTGTCCCCCTCACCTTCAAAATGAACAACAAAGCCAACCATACAAAGAAGTATTTGTAGTTTTTGAGACTGACC